GCCTCGGGAGCCCGGCCGGCCAGCTGCCTCCACTCAGGACACCATGCAGGCCCGAGCCCCAGCCCCTGCCCCACAGTGATTCTGGCTGAGGCTGTCTGCTCAGGGGCACCCGTACCTGCTCAGCCCTGCATCCTCACCCCTGGCAGGGGCTGGTCTCCGGCATTCCTGATACCCTACCTGCACCCGCCTCCACCTCATAGGCCTTCCCAGCCCGCCCATGCTAGCTCCCCCGGGGGAGTGGGCAGGGTGTCCTAGCTCACTCGGGGGAGTGGGTGTCCTGCTCACCCAGGGGGAGTGGGCAGGGTGCCCTGCTGGATGAGTGGGCAGGGGGCCCTGGCTCTCCGGGGTGAGTGAACGGCATTTCTCTCACAGACACCGAGCAGAGCAGGCCGGCCCCCACCCAGCCCGGTGGCCCCCAGAGCCCCCCTGTCCCCACCCCACCCCAGGGCGTCCCCCTCCATATGGGCTGGGTGTAGGCTCGGCCGGAGAAGAAAGCGCTGGGCTCACCTTGGGGGCCCGGCCCTGGCAGCAGGACGGTGCCGGGACTTGCGTGGCCTCTCTGGCCTGTGTCTCTAGAACGTTCTCTGCTCCCTCTCTCCCTGCTGCAGACTCGCCTCCGAGTGCTGGGAGCCTCTGCTGACGCCATGTCTCTGGGACCCTGAGGGCTGGGGGAGGAGCCTCCAGCCTCGGGGCCGAGTCCTTGGGGATGTCCTCACCGGGCAGCATCCCCGCGGACGGTGCTGGTCAGCGTTGCGGTCAGCAGTCAAATCCACAGGGACCGCGTGCTTCTCTTCCGTTCATTCCTTTGGTCACACACTCCTTCGCTTTACAACCACTTCCCGAGCACCTGCTGTTTGCGATGCTGAAGGTCAGATAAGGCTCACGAAGGCCCTGGCCGGTGTGGCTCAGTGGACAGAGTGTCGGCCTGTAGTCTGAAGGTTCCTGGGTTCGATTCCAGTCAAGGGCATGTACCTTGGTTTCAGGCTCCTCCCTGGCCGGGGCCCTGCTCAGGGCGCGTGCAGGAGGCAACCAATGGATGTGTTTCTCTCACATCGATGTTTCTCTCTGCCTTTCCCTCTCTTTCCACTCTCCCTAAAAATCAATGGAAGAATATCCCCGGGTGAGGGTTAAAAAAAAAAAAGGCTCCCAAAGGAGGGGTCCTGAGCCCCAGCCAGATGCTAGCTGGCTTCTCTGGCGTCACCGGCCAGGGAGCGGGGCCAGGCCCGGCCTGAGGACTCCCAGCTCCCGTCCTCGCTGCTCCCGCACGCACTTGCTTTCTGTCCCCGGAACCTACTGGCAGGTCCAGTCCCTGCTCATGCCGGTGCCTGGGCATGCAGCTTAGAAGCAACACAGTGGCATCATTGGGGGAGCGGGTGGCACCCCGCAACCACTTCCCGAGCACCTGCTGTTTGCGATGCTGAAGGTCAGATAAGGCTCACGAAGGCCCTGGCCGGTGTGGCTCAGTGGACAGAGTGTCGGCCTGTAGTCTGAAGGTTCCTGGGTTCGATTCCAGTCAAGGGCATGTACCTTGGTTTCAGGCTCCTCCCTGGCCGGGGCCCTGCTCAGGGCGCGTGCAGGAGGCAACCAATGGATGTGTTTCTCTCACATCGATGTTTCTCTCTGCCTTTCCCTCTCTTTCCACTCTCCCTAAAAATCAATGGAAGAATATCCCCGGGTGAGGGTTAAAAAAAAAAAGGCTCCCAAAGGAGGGGTCCTGAGCCCCAGCCAGATGCTAGCTGGCTTCTCTGGCATCACCGGCCAGGGAGCGGGGCCAGGCCCGGCCTGAGGACTCCCAGCTCCCGTCCTCGCTGCTCCCGCACGCACTTGCTTTCTGTCCCCGGAACCTACTGGCAGGTCCAGTCCCTGCTCATGCCGGTGCCTGGGCATGCAGCTTAGAAGCAACACAGTGGCATCATTGGGGGAGCGGGTGGCACCCCGAGCCCCTTAACCCCCTGCTCTAATCGTACCGGCCCAGAGCCACGGCCATCGTTTGTCACCACTTCCCAGGTAGACGCACGAACTCTCAATCAGCAGGCCCGACCGCGGAGGAGTAAATAAACAGCACGCGGGCCGAGCGCTATAATTAGAACCGCCATTCGGCTAAAGGAAAGTAAGACGTTTTCATTCCAGGCTCTGCCCGGGCTGAGCTGCTGCTAGGGAACAGCCGTGTGTGAACACGTTGGGAGCAGCGAGGCGGGAGGCGGCGTAGCACGGAGATGGGTTCTTGTGAGTGGGGCTGGCATGCACTCCCCACATGTCCGTCCCGTGTTTACCTCCCAGAGCCACGCTAACGTGGTGATTGGTATCCTTCAGGCGTTTGTCAGTTACCTGGGTGATGTCGCCCAACATTTCTGACTGTATTCGTATAGCAGGTTGGCACCGTTCACTGGCAAGACGGGGTGACGACAGGAAGGACACGAGCTAGTCATTTAACACTTTCTCTCAAGTACCATCTCCACGCCGGGCACAGTGAATACCAAGTGACTTGCTTTCACGGAGCTCACGTGTAGCAGTTGCAGGCAAGTAAGACAAACAACAAACAGGCATCGACCTAAGGACATAACACCCACAAAATGCCCGGTGGCGAGAAGCGGTGCCAAGGAGTGTGCAGGGCAAAGGGATGGAGAGCGATGGAGGGCGCCGTCTTAGGTCAGGTGCCCGGGTGGAGTCCGATGAAGTGACACTGCAGGACAGACCTGGATGACATGAGGGAGCAATGTGCTGTGGAGGGAAAGGGCACTCAAAAGTGGGAACAGCCAGTGCAAAGGCCCTGGGGCAGGAGTCCGAAGGCCAGTGTCCGGGAGCAGAGCAGGATTTAACTGACTGGGTTTTCAGATTGTAGACACCTGCTGATTACAGGAGCCTGATGCAGCTGAACCCATGGTTTCACCTTGTTCCGAGGGAGAGGTGAGGGGTGAGGTCACGTGGCCCTGCTGCATCAGCTCAGGTCCCTGCTGCTGGGCCGAGCTCTGCTGGCTCACATCGGTCTGTCTGCCGTTTTCAGTATTTATCGCCTAATGACATGACAAATCGCATTGCATGTAGCTGTCTTGTCAATGAGGAAGCAAAGTAATTAAGTGTTAAAATTCTATTGCTTCAATCCCCCAAGCTGTGCTCGCTTCGAGTAAATTGAGTGACTGTGAAAGACCTCGGTGCCGGCTGGTAAATGGCCTGTCACATCCGGGGGGACGGGAGCCCCGCGCTCAACAAGACCTGCTGGACTCGTAATGTCAACATGACAAATGGGCCAGGCTTGCGTCCTTGATCGCGAGCATTTATCTCCCGCCGGCGCACCGGTGCCTGCGTCGGAAAGGGCCTCCTCATCCTGCAGGACTCAGCTTTCTGAAGGGGATGGCGGCACGATGGTCTCAGAGGGTCACTCACGCTTCATTGCTTTTAAAGGAGACAAAGAACAGCCCGCCACCTGGCTCAGTGGTTGAGCGTGGACCTATGAACCAGGAGGTCACGGTTCGATTCTGGTCAGGGCGCAAGTCCGGGTTGTGGGTTTGATCCCCAGTGTGGGGCGTGCAGGAGGCAGCCGATACACAATTCTCTCTCATCATTGATGTCTCTCTCTCTCCCTCTCCCTCTCCATCTCCCTTCCTCTCTGAAATCAATAAAAATACATTTGAAAATAAATGAATGAATAAAAGCAGGTCTCATCTCCCGAGTCATCCCTGACCACGCGCTGGCTCTCCCGAGGGAGCCGTGGGGGACGGGAGGATGCGCGGTGGCTGTGGAATTAATGGCAGGAAACCCGCGTCTGGGGACTATTCGAAGAGCAGGGCATTCATTTGGGGACTTGCTTTAAGAGAGAAAATTCATGTGTTCGCTCTCGAAGCTTTAAAAGCTTTTCATGCTCCCCTTAAACAGCGTCGCTAATGGAAGGAGCGGCTTTCTCCGCGGATAATGGCCTTGTTATTGCTTCAGAGCCGGCAGCTGGCGCAACACCGGCTTTCTCTCGGCCCCAGCCCATCACTGACGTCGGATGGCTAAGTGCTGCTGCCAGGCCTCTTCTTAAAAGTGGAAAATGGCAGCCGCTCGGAATGACCCTGACAACGGACGCCTTTGAGGAGGACGCGAGGCCCGCAGGCTTCTTGCTGGGCTTTCGGCCGAAGCCATTCCTCAAACCTGCCGGGCGCCGGCCTCCAGGCAAAGGAGGGAGTGTGTGTGTGTGTGTGTGTGTG